AGGGCCATGCTGCGAGTCAGAGCTGGTTGAGAATCTTCTACTTGGTCCGTCCCATCGAGGAAGAGTGTAACTTCACCAGCTCCTTGGCCAGAATCACAAGACCTGTAATTTGTCGTTTTTGTTGTTGTTTTGGTCCTGAGGCTTGAAGTCTGAGCCTGGGCACTGTCACTGAGCTCTTCACCTCAAGGTGAGCACTTTACCACTTGAGCCACAGCGCCACTTCCAGTTTTCTGGTGGTTTATTGGAGATAAGAGTCTCATGGACTTTCCTGCCCTGGCTGACTTTGAACCATGATCCTCAGATCTCAGCCTCCTGAGTAGCTAGGATTACAGGTGTGAGCCACTGGCCCCCAGCTTCTTACTAAGGAAATAGAGACAAGAGACTGGCCAGCCATGAATTTCCACCTTATCTTGGGGCCAAGATACTGCAGAGTAGGTAGGGAGGAAGAAAGAGAAAATTAGACTCACCAGACTACTCACACGACTGTACAGGGTTGACGAGGGGCAGTCCGGAGGCCACGTAGACGTCCCGTTCTCCTGGTTCCAGCCTTGGGGACATGGGTTGCTTTGCTGGGAGAGGTAGCTCCTTGGCAGGGCTTCTGGGAGAGCTGTCTGGGGTTTTCACCCCCCAGCCTCTGGGCAATGATGTCATCTGGATGCCAGCTGTGCTCACTTCCGCCTGCCTTCCCCACCCACTTTCAGATCCTACCTCTATTTCTCAAGGCTTTAGTAATTTCGAGGTAACCTGTTCACCACCACTCTCCTGGGGGCCAGGGATTCCCAGAGATGACCCTTCCCATCAGCCTTCTCCGTGCCCTAGAATGCATCTTCCCCACCTCCCAGCTTTCCAGCCCTCTTCCAGCTCCTCTCTCAGGGTAATCAAAAAGGCCCAATTATTAAAAGTCTTGTAAGCAGAAGAGATGACTCATCAACACAGTGCAGGGACCGGGAAGTTTGATAACGGCTCCCCTGATCAGATTCTGCAAAGCGCAGCAGCACCCACGGCACTACACGGTGGATGCGTGAGAGTCTGCCATTTCACCACCATAATTCTTCCACTGAAAACAGGGCCACTGGCTCCATCTCACCCTTTTTCCCAGGACATGATCATCATAAATCACGAGCTTGTTTGTTGGATCAGAGGTCTGCTCTCTGGTGGACTCGGTTCCTTGGACTTCTCCAGTTGTCATGATTTTACAAGTACAGGAATGGTGCTTCAGTTGTGTGTGTATGCTAACAGAACGTGGAGGTAATTCTGTAGGCCCAGTTCCCAAATCATCTCCATTAGCTCTGGAAGGGACTTGGATGGTTAAATATGAGTATGGGAATGTCTCCCATTGGAGGTAGACACAATATTAGACAGCAAAGGAATGTAGTTACCAGAGAAGGAAATCCTTGAATATCAGAGGCTGGAAACGCGCCTGGTGTCCCCAGATAGCTTTTATACCAAACGATGCCCCTCTGTAGACAAACCGGAGAGGGGTTCCCATTCTTCCCCTCCCTCTTCCCTTCACCAATGTCACTCTACCACGCTGTCCCTGGGGAGGGGATATTTCCCCACTTCTTGAATCTGAGCTGCCTTGCAACCCAATGGAAGGTGGTAAGTCAAGTGTATCAGGAAGAGTCTAGGCCTCGAGAAACTTGGGGTGTATTTCCACTTGCTCTGGCAAGGCCCTGATACCACATAAGAACTAGCCCAGCTCCGTAGCTAGACGTATAAGGCACCAGATAGAAGAGCTCAGGCTAGCCCAGCCTAACACAGCCAACTAGCCTGCCCACTACAAATGAGGGAGCAAGCCAGGCCCAGCTGGACAGGGCATTGAAACCCCAAGTCAATCCATCCATATAACTGTGAGCCAAATAAGAGGGTTTATTAAGCCCCTCTTTTGGGGTAGTTTGTTATACAGCAGGAATCCCCTTCCCCTAACACAACAAGAAGATTCCTCATAGCACATTCACATGAGAGAGAAATTCCCAGGTAGAGAGAAAGACACCCTCCCTTCTTCTGGTAGCTGAGTTAAATGTAGGTAGGAAATGTTACACTCTATTTCCCTTTAACTAGACAACCAGACTGTATTTTAAATAATTATTTTATGAGATCAACAGCAGACACACATCCTTGAATAAGTAATTTGTTAATTCTCACAATTCTGTTGTAATCAATCAATACAACAATAAAACAAATGTTGGACCACACAGTATACCATTGTGATTAGGAATAATTTAGACCAAGATTGGATCCTGAGCCCTGTTTTAACAAGCTATGAAAAAAATAATGTTTTCTGGTCAAATATGTTTAATAATTTCTTCATCATGTCCCCAAGCAATTTATTATTGCTCTCATTCATTCAGCTTACATTTGTCACATATAGCTGTATAACACAAAGACACAGACCTAGATTTGCTATTCTTTCCCCATCATTTAATTGACTTTAGAACAAGGCAGAATTTGTAGAGATCAGTGTGGGAGACATCATTAACCCTTCTGCAAGCAGATTCTTAACGTGTTCATGTGGTACCTTTCATTGAAGTAGCCAAGGTACTCGAACTTTGCTGCCATATCCTTTTGCTGTCTCTGTTTAGGGAAACTATGATAAATTATCATTGCAGCCTCTTTATAGAAAGAGAAGTGAAAGTTAAGAAAAAGTGAAAAGCAGAGTAGTCTTAGTCAGTGAACTGAAGATTGTCACAGAAGAAGGTAACCTATTAGCTCCACATCTGATTTTGTAAACTCTAATTTCATCTGTTTAAATATTATTCCATATCAAATGATAGAATGACTTCTATTTTGTAACATCTCTCTTCGGATGATGTTCAATAAAATCACAACAGGTGACCCTCGCCTTTAATTCTAGCTACTCAGGAGGCTGAGATCTAAGGATTGTGCTTCAAAGTCCAACTGAGCAGGAAAGTCTGTGAGACTCTTTAACTCAACATCAAAAAGCTGAAAGTGGGAGTGTGGTTCAAGTAGTAGAGCTCCAGCCTTGAGTGAAAAAAAACAAGCAAAAATGCTAGGCCCTGAGTTCAAACCCCTGTGCACGCACATGCGCGTGTGTGTGCACACAAACACACACACAAGAGCATAACAATTGATAACTTCCCACCAGTGGATCATCACAGCATTGCAATCACTTCCTGCCAAGTCGCAGAAACTACAGAGCTGTCCTCTGTTCTTGTATTAAAAATCACAATCCACTACAACCACCACCATTTCCAGGAAAAGTATAACATGGAGCAAGAAACCAGTGAGGACTGGCCATTCACTCCAGCTGGGCATGGACGGCCTCTGAAGTTTGTACAATGGTCACTTTTAACACTCCCATCCATGCCAGATGTACGAAATTATTTTTAATTTGCTTCAGAAAAGTGTTTGAACTATTCCCCCAGCACTTAATGAGAACTGGTGCTCACTGGACACAGTAGAGAATTCTGCCCAGGTGACTTCTTTCAGTCTGACTTATCTGTGTTTCCTGGCAAGGTGATCAAGGCCAAGAGAAGGACACCTGTAGCATGATAATTTTCTTATATCTGCAGTGTGAGGATTTAATTTGTAATTCAAATGCACTGGAAGCCAGGAGGATTGTCTTTTACTTCTATAAGGTTAAATGGCAGAATGCACAACTCATGCTTACGAAGAAAGAAAGCTTGCTGCCTAGTCACATACATGACATTGTGAGCTACAAAACTTTATTCCTTCTTTTGTCAACTTCCCTGGCACCTTCTTATCACTCTGTATGTGGCCTGGTTCCACATCCTACTCTTTGTCCACATCCTTTCTAGAGAAACATCAAGCAGTAAAATGCCCAACAGCAGAAATGTGCATTTTTAGTGATTTAGTTGGCAAGTGCCTACTAGCACTGTCAGTGAGGACAAATAAACCAGGTAGGGGAGAAGGTCACTCACTGAACTTCATTTTCAAGAATCTATACATGCTTAGCTGGGCACTGGTAGGTCACACCTGTGATCCTAGCTACTCAGGAGGCTGAGATCTGAAAATTGGGGTTAAAAGCCAACCCAGTCAGGAAAGTCTGTGAGACTCTTATCTCCAACTAACCACCAAAAAAGTTGGAAGTGGAGCTGTCGCTCAAGTGGTAGTGTGTGTGCTTAGCACGGGCAAAGCCCTGTGTTCAACCCTCAGTACCACCAAAAAAAGAAAAAATCAGAAGAAGGAAATTCCCTTTTTCTTTTATAAAAATGAATACACTGAATATTTTTCATAAAATGAAAGTCCCAAGCTAGGTATGATGGTGTACACCTGTAATCCCAGCACTAAAGGAGGTGAAGGCAGGAAGTTCACGAATCCCAGGCCAGCCTGGGTTACACGATGAGCCCCTGTTTAAAAACAAAACAAAACAACGACAACAACAAAACCAACACCCAAAGAAGAAAGAAAAGAAACTCAAAGCCCAATCGCCTTGAGAAGGGTCACAGAAGAAAATCTCTAAAAGAGACTGGCACCTTTGAGACATTTTTTTTTCTAGAAAACTCCTTATACAGTCCAGGAAGAAGAAGAGGAAGAGGTGGAAGAAGGGGAAGAAGTAACAAGACACAGAGTACAAAAAAAAAAAAAAAAAAAAAAAGTGAACTATAAATATGGAGGGGATGCAGATCTCCACTGAGCAAGATGGTCCCGAAACAAACGTCACCAAGTCACAAATCAGAACGGGAGGTGGCTGGGGAAGGGAGAGGGTCCGACCCGCGGCCGCCCGGCGTGTGGAGGGGACGCGAGGAGTCCCACCGCACAGCGGCTCAGGCAGAGTCCCGGGTCGGTGAAAAGCAGGGCGTGGAGAGAAGGTCGGGCGTTGTGCACCCAGGTACCGATCCTCGCTGGGGAGGGCAGGAGGAAGGGGGGCGGACACCGGCCAGCCCGGCCCCCACTTGTGCCTCTGGGTCCTGCCTGGGGCTCAGTCGGGTGCCTGGCCGGGGCTGGGGGGTGGGGGCTGCGTTCCCGGGCTGGACCCGGGTCCGGGGTGGCAGGGGCGCAGGGACGCAGGGGCGCGCTCAGGCCTCGGCTGCGCCCTGCTCCTGCACCGGCCGCGACGCTTTCTCGGGCTCCGGCGGCAGCCCGGGGCCTGCGCAGGTGTCCAGGAAGCGGGGCCCGTTGCCCGCGAACGAGTCCGGGTGTCCAAGAGTCTCCTCCTGCACCGGGCAGGCCATGGGCTCCGGCTCCGGCTCGGCGCCCGCCGCGCCGCTCCCCGCGCCCGCCGCGCCCTCCTGCGAGGTCTGGCTCACGTAGACCACGATGATGTCGCCTTTGAAGTTCATCACCTGCCCGCTGGAAATGAACGTGGAGTTGCTGTTTCCCGTCACGGTGCCTGCGGGGACGGGAGAGGTCGAGTCAGGTCGGGGGCAGCCGCGGGACAACCGGGAGCGCAGGGCCCGCGGAGGCAGCGGGGAGCGAGAAGGGCGGAGGTGAAGGAGGGAAGGAGGGAAGCGATGCCCGGGAGCCACTCTCCCGCGCCGGCGCGGGTCGTGGGCCTGGCGGGAGAGGCGGCCGGGTCGCAGAATCATCACAGACCACAGCCCGCATTATGAAGAAAGTGTGTTCCCCGTGCAACAAAGGCTCGGTTGTGGAAGGTCAGGGAGCCACCTGAGCTTCGTCGTGAGCACAGGTGTAACCATTCTCTTAACATTCATTTAAAAAACAAAAGATGACTCGGGCCTGGCACCCGTAGCCCTCAGCTACTCAAGAACAGCTTTAAACAGGCACGTGCGAGGACCTCAGTTCATAAACCAGCCCTGCCAGGCAAGAAAGATCCCTTACCGCCAATGGAACCAGCAAACAACAACAAACCCATCAACAGAGCAGAGAACCAGCCTTGCGAGCAAAGGCTGAAGAAGAGTAATTGTTTAAAACAAGAGTAAATTGTTTTAAAACAAATTACTCTTGGGGGAAGTGGCGGGGAGAAGATTCAGAAAACTATAAAGAGAGGAGGAGCTGACAAATCACTGTTTCCTTCTAAACCCTAAAGGGTGTTCAACTCCTTTGGGGTTCTGTCATTTCTTTGTGAGCGATTGGAAGTAACCAGTCTTTAATTATCAGACCATTTGGAGAAATAGAAAGTTCAACAAATGTTAGGAAACCTGTCACTTTTTATTATTCTGCTGTCTTAAAGACCGAGGTTCCAGAAGCACTCCCTGGTGAAAATGACTGCTCCAGCCCAACAAGCCCTAAACTCCCCAACACTCAGTATCGCAAACAATGAATGTGTCCACCGCCTAGAAGACACGAATATCAGAATGGCTCCTTGATTTTCCAACATGCTTAGCCTTTCTCTATTGTGACCCAGCTTCAATAATATTTTTCAGACATAAAGTTTCTGTCACTCCTCCATATGACATCATTCTCCCCCATGTTTGGCACCTTCTGACTAAAACATCTAGAGGCATATAGAAAATTCCTGTGGGGAGACGTCTCCCGAATTACCAAAGCCAAGATGGACGCACAGTGAAATACCCATGGAAACCCAAGGATTTTTCTAGTCACAATCTTCTGGCATTTCTTCCATAGATTGCTAAAAATGAGTGGCTTAATAGATCTATTATCTAATAATTACTCAACCGACATAATAGAGGCCACTAGTATTTCTATTTTCCAGGAGGTAGCACATTCTCCATTCCCCTAAAATACACTCAAAATATACAGAGTACTTTAAGCTAGGGGCTTCCTTTAAAGTATGTCTGTGCCTTTCTCCTCTTGCCAAATACAAAGTTGTTGTTGTTGTTGTTGTTTTTAAATAAGATAAACGCAGTAGGGAAGAGCGAGCAATTGGAGGGGAATAACACGTACAGAATCAAGAATGGTAGTGTATACTTGCAATCCCAGCTGTTTGGAGGATGTAGACAGGAGGATTGTGGTTCAAGGCTAACCAAGGCAAAAGTGAGCGAGATGTTATCTGAAAAACAAGCCAGATATGGTGGAAACATGCCTGTAATCCCACCTAGTTAGAAGGCAAGGAGCTCACTCTAATGTCGGGCAAAGAGTGTGAGACTCTAGCTTGAAAAATAGCTTTAACAAAAGGGTTGGGCATGTGGTTCAAGTGGTAGAGTTCGAGCCTGGTGAGAAAGAAGCCCTGAGCTCAAACTTCAGTATCCCCCTCCCCTCAAGTCAAACACCATGTACATACCATAAACATTACATTCTGATTTAAACCCTATTGTATCTATTTAATCAAATCAGTAATTTTCTATTGCTCAGAAGTAATTTTCTTGGCATGGCTTTCCTATGGTTTTATTACAACATCATTAACTATTAGTTTTGCTATTCTTCAATCCATGAAACACAGGGCGTTGATTGCTAGCCCCTGCATGACTCGTTATACCTTTTAATTAAACAGCTCTTCTGTATCCCCTTCCTACTTAGCGTTACATGATTGTGACATGACTTATCCACCAGTTAACACTTTCTGGTATATCGTCATCATGAATTCACTGTTGCTTACTTCTTCCTTGTCAGAATCCTCAATTAGGATTGGAAATGTGGCTCAAGTGGTAGAGGACCTGCCCAGTAAGCCCAAAGTCCTGAGGTCAAATCTAGTGACAGAAAAAGAAGAACCCACACCCTTCAATTAGTCTGAATGTAAATCTGCTGATGGTATCAGCTGTTCCTTTCTTTTAAGTAGAATGAGAATGCAGAGTCATTCTTCGAACAGCTCAAGTGCAGAATCCTTCTAGAATTTTATTCCCCAAACTTTCACAACTGTCTTATCCACCTCAATTTCAATGGTAAAAAGAGTTTCAATAACTCATTCTTTGAATCATCCCAAAGCATGTAGTTGTTTCATAGAAACAATCCTCATGTTTATCAAACTCTTTTTGTTGGCCAATGAATGTAACAGTTAAAGTTTTTTTTTTTCATTTGGATAAATACTGATAGGAGGCACAGAGATGTTGTGTCTGTGTGTTCTTCTTTAATGTTTAAAGTTTTAAATGACCCCAAGATGAGCTCTCACCCACACCCTTAGGAACACCCATGAATTCCTACAGACACAGCATTCAGTGGGTAGAGTCAGGCACTGGAGTCCAGGGTAGCCTATAAGCAATGTGCTTCCTGCATGGAGGAAAGTACCCAGGCCCACAGTTGAAGTCCCACAACAACAACAAAAAGAACTAAGGAGACCACAAGGAAGGAGCAGGTCCAAAACAATCTCTGTTCTTGTCCTGTGCTTTCAATAGTGGGAAGAATTTGGCACAAACTTCTTGCCACAGCTCTGTCTGTCCATTTAGAACATAGGCATCAATTATCATCAGGTCATGCCAGCTTGTCAGTGTGTAGCCACATAGAGCAGGTGCATTTGTTAAATGAATGAACAGAGGAGTTTGTGAATACCCAGCAGAATTCCCTAAGGGCCAAAAGAAGATGAGAGATTTGAAAATGTTTGGGCTATAGCAAAGAATTAATCACCAGTGCAACGATGGCATTGATTCTTCCAAGGTAACATTAGTGCCCACAGAATCCCAAGGATACAGAACTGTACGGAACAGACCGTGGAGCATGCCACCTTTCCATCTCTGTCTTGGAGGAGGATCTCAGTGTGTCTCAAACACTCAAAGCGTATTTTCCTCTGGAAATCTAACCAGCTTCTGAAATCATCCATCATCGTGATTGCCTCTGGTGAAAACACTCATCGATATCAATCTGCACGAAGCCCCATAGTCTCATTTCTTGTCACGCTAGTCAGTTGTGAGTTGAATGTTGTGCTAGATTAGATCAAAAGGCTCAGAATGAATTGGTAATATTCTTATCTTTTAATATAGCTCAGTCCTGAAAATGTCCTTGCTGAAAGCAATAATTTCTTAAAATTTGAGTTCTATATTTTAGAAAAGAAAGAGTTCTTATGGTTCTGTAGGCTGACCTGAGAGAGCCAAGTTCAGGGATAAAAACATAAGCAGGCCACCATGTTGGCTAGCTGCATAATCCAGTGGTGCTTTGGGGTGTTGTTGTTGTCGTTGTTGTTGTCATTGTTGTTTTGCAGTTGATCCACGCCCCTGAAGGACATGGAACCAAGGGGTCCCCTCCAATATTCTTCTGGTCTAGTGAACCTCTCCTTTGCTGGAAGCTGGTTAGGATGTATGTAAAGAGAGAAGGATGGTTTGAATGAGGCTTGCTCAAGATGGCCTAAAAAGGCCCAAGGATTAAGAGAAGAAAAGGAGAAGTCACAGATTGGGAGAACATATTTGCAAGTCATATCTGAAGCCTGGTGCTTGCAATTCATGCCTGTAATCCTAGCGACTCAGGAGGCTGAGATCTGAGGTTCAAAGCCAGCTGGGACAGGAAAGTCCATGAGACTCATATCTCTTAATTAACCACCAGAAAACTGTAAGTGGAGCTATGGCTCAAAGTGGTAGAGTGCTAGCCTTGAGCACAAAAGCTCAGGGACAGTGCCCAAGCCCTGAGTTCAAGCCCCATGACCAACCACAACAAAAGAAAGCAGAAAGTCATATCTGATAAAGACTATTACTCAAATTGTTCAGTGAAGTTTTCTAACTTAATAATAAGAAAGCAAACTACCCAATTAAAAAAAAGAGTCAATGACCTTAAAAGACCTTAACAGACCTTAATGCCAAAGAGAAGATCTCACCAAACAAAGAAGATATTCAAATTACATTTAGGTATATGAAAAGATTCTCACTAGGCAGCAGTGGCTCATGCCTATAATCCTTGCTACTCAGGAGGCTAAGATCTGAGGATTGCAGTTTGAAGCCAGCTCAGGCAGAAAAGTCTGTGAGACTATTTCCAGTTAATCACAGAAAAAGCCAGAAGTGGCGCGGTGGCTCAAGTGGTAGAGCACTAGCCTTGAGCACAAGGAGTCCAGGGAGAATGCCCAGGCCCAGACTTCAAGCCCCAGGACTGGCAAAAAAAAAAAAAAAAAATCTCTACATCATATTTCATGAAGGAAGTGAGAAACTGAAACAATTAGCTATTATTACATGCCTTCCCAAATGGCTAACTCCAGTGCATGGAAATATCAAATGCCGGTGAGGACGTAGAGCCACAGGTGGCTCCCTCCCATTCATGGTGGTGAGAATGTAAAATCACACAGCTCCTTTGGAAGACAGTTTGGCAACCTCTGACAACACCAAACACAGGGTTACCACACAATGAACCAATAATAAACCTTTGGTATTGACTCAGTTAAAAGTTATGTCTACACAAAAATCTGCACATGGTGGTTTAGGGCAATTTACTCATAATTTTCAGAACTTAGAAGTAAAGAGTCCTTCAATAGGTGAACAGATAAATTGTGGAACATCCTAACAATGGCATTGTATTCAGTGCTCAAAAGAAATGATCAAGCCATGAAAAGACATAGAA